AAAGCCATGTGTGATGTGGTATATGTGAAGTATCCTTTTTTTGTTGTGGCACCTCTTCTTCTTTGCCTCTTGCCACGCCTGAACTCTTACTTGAGACCTCTGCTTTTTTTTGTTGCTGCTCACTTTTTAAAAGCAAATATTTTGTTGGTTAGCTCGTTAAATAGAAAGTGTTGGGAGATAATGTTCAGTTTTTCTCCTTCTTCTTCTTCTTCATCTTGTCATAACGCAAAGGATGTATAAGTGTGACTGTAATGTGATGTCCTTAGATGTCAAAGGCTAACGAATTAATGAGAGCCATTGAGAAATGACAAACAGACTTATTTGAGAAGCAACTCATAATTAGATTTGTATTTAAATTCTGTTGCATACTTCAGGGGGTGCTTCAATGTCATTATAATGGTAAGGTTGCATTTTTATACCCTCTACAATGCATTGTATGGAGGGTACATTAAGTTCGTCATTCCGTTTGTAACTCATCGAAATAATAATTTTAGACCCAACAAAGTATATATATATATTCTTGGTCAGCGTAAAATTCTAAGACAATTTAGCCCTGTCCGTCCGTCTGTTGTAATCACGCTACATTCAAAAGGAATTAAGATAGGAAGCTAAAATTTTGGACAGGTCTGTCGAAGAAGGGCTATATCGGTCCATAATGTCGTATAGCCCCCATATAGAGGTACCTCCCTTCCCCCTCCCCTGATATTCGGTACCTTGGTATATGATTATTTTAGCCACATTTTTCGAAGAAATTGTCTGCAATTTTACACAAGGAGTTCTTTGTGAGTACTTTACCACCTGAAGGAGAATTGTCTGTATAGGTCCGCGATATAGTGTAGTCCCCATGTAACGGTATTTTGATGATTTTAGCCACTTTTTTCAATCGAAATTTTAACCAAAGAAAACACCTTTTTGGGAAACGCAAGAAGTCAGTGTGATTCTAATCCACTTGAGAATGCGCGACGCTCATTGAGCTTGCTTTTAACTAAATTTGTCATATAAGATGTTAGAAAGTATCAATCGGTTTTACCGACAGATGTATACTTTCAGATAGTGTTCGATTATTTAAATATATTTTGACTTCGGTTATGATTAATAAAATTGCTGACCTTCTATGGAGTAAGTTCGGAAGGGCCAATATTGTCCATTGGGCCAATATTGAACCATATAAATATGATATAATGTGATGTATCAGGACTATATGCACTATATATAAGATATGTGATAATTTTTAAAAAGAATTAAAATGTGCGTGAGATTCCAGATACAGGATGAACAAACGGCCAATGAAGCCGCCACACGCTGCCCGGATGTTGCTCTGTCGTATTTTGGCCCATTCCCGGCGAAGCGCTTGCTTAAGGTGATCGACACTTTGGTAATTATTTGTGTCAACTTTTTTTTCCAAAATACTCCAGACAAAATAGTCCAACGAATTGGTATCCGGATATTTTGGTGGCCTTTGTGCGCTTGAAATAAAGCGAGGAACCTCATTTTGTAACCACTCTTGGGTGGCGGGTGTTGAGTGCGATGGTGCTGAGTCCTGTTGGAATGTCTAAGGTCTGCGGCCAAATATTTGCTTCCCCAGGCTTTAATACATCCTCCAGAATATTTTCGCGATAATATTCGGCATTTATTCTGATGCCACGGCCGATTAATACGAGCGGAGAGCTACAATCAGCTGTTATAGCGGCCCACACCATCATCATGGCCGGCGCTTGAGTTCTGGTGCCCAACCGAAGGTGCACATTTTCAACTGATCTCTTTGGCAAGTAAACACGATCATTTTGTTTGTTTACACTGGTGGACAACGAATGTTTTCTCATCGAAAACGGATAAAACCAAATTCGGCAGTTCACCACTTTCGGCCAAGCGAAGTTACTCTTTAGCTCTTTTATGTCTATTTTCTTTCTGTTGTGGTGTAAGTTCTTGCACTTTTTGGAATTTCAATGGCTTTACCCCGAGCTCATTTTTCAATATTTGCCGAATGGAATATTGCGATATGTTCAGCTCACGAGCCATTTTTCCGCTATTGCGACGGGAGTTTCTATCAAAAACCTTCGTTAATTTTCGAACCATTTCTGCTGATGTTACTGTTTTCTTCCGTTTACTTCCTCGGTCGGTTGATGGTATGAAAAGCAAAAGATTTATTCACATTTAAATGCTTTAGTGCTCTAACGATAGCCACTTGTGGTTTTCCAGCAAAAATATAAAGAAATCACACTATCACCCTTGAATTTCCTCACGAATAACTTTTTTTCTGGAAAATTCTTACCAAAATGGTTTTGTACGCTTGTAAACAATTTAATGAGCTGTCACTGGAATAATTTCAACAGCTGTTGGACGAGTGGCCTAGAAATGACGCCCTCTATTGTGATCTACTAAGCCTGAATGGAATCGGATGTTAATTTTGCGTTTTATGAGCTTCATGGATATTTAAAATTTTAACCCTTTTGTGGGGGAGGTACCAAAAGGAAAGGAGCGATATATCCCATCTTCACATCGAATCTTGTATTGGTAGAAATAATGGGATGTGTGAAATATTAAGAGAACTGGATACATATTTCGAATTTTATGATCGTTTTGGTTATTCAACACTTTGACCATTTGTGGGGGAGGTAGCAGGAGGAGTGATCCGATCTCTACCGTCTTTGTAAAAGATTTTATTTCGAACTTTTGTGGGGGACATACCAGAAGGAGTAGGCCGATATTGCCCACCCCCGAACTCTATGTTTCATAATAATATTCTGTAGTGCCATGTTTAGACCAAATCGGATACTCCCTTCGATAGTTATCGTGCGCGCCAGCTCGGATTTGGTCCAAAGAGACCTAGGGTCTAAAACCTTTAATTCCATGAGGCACATTTTGATCATATCAAATGATATACACCCTCTCTAGCCATGTGGCTGAGGGTATCAATAAGCTGAAAAAGCCAAGTGACCATTCCCATAGCGTAGTACGGAAAAGTGTAGAATTGTGGACTCCAGAATCAAAAAAATTGACGAAAATAAAATAAATCCGTATATCGGAAGGTGCCTTATATGGAGGATATATCAGACGTGGTCCTTCATAGGTAATTTTCTGTCATAGGAAGTGGTACCCAAATTTGACCTATACAGACATTTTCCTACATGTTTCGTTCACAAAGGAAACACAAACTGCCAGTTTAAAGTAAATTGTTTTTAAAATTCTGTCTTTGCTGTTTTGCGTGGCTTGTATTGTCCATTTTAAATACCAAAATACCTACGACCCTAACTATATTTGAATAAAATTGTATCAACTTCTTCATCTCTTTCAGAAGCTAAAGGATTTCCACAGACAGACAGAAATACCAAGGGACGGACGAACATAGCCAAATCGACATAGAATTCTATGCTGATCAAGAATTTGTACATTTTGTAGGGTATACAATGTATATGTCAAGGTGTTACAAATGGGAAAACAAATTTAATATACTCTCGGTGCATTTTAAATTTACCCTAAATCATTCCCTTCCAGATTGGAAATTGTGTGACACCTAAAAGTATGCTCTAAAATGTTACAGATAAGTATGAAAAAACTAGCCAGGCATATATGACTCTAAGATACCTTTTAACTAGCCTTTAATAATGACATGTAAAATCATTTCGCTTTATATTTCTTTTTTTAAAAATTGTTGCATACTTTTAGGGGTATGTATAAAAAGCACATTATAAAATTATTGAATTTTCTTAAAAAAATTATGCAAAATTACAAAATTTTTGTTCACTTTTTATTTTAACTGCTTGTTGCTCCCTGTGCATTTCACAACATGCTGGCATTTTAAAACTCCTCATGTGGTTTTGACACATAAACTTTTACCGAGATATGTTAAAAAGTCGAGAAATGAAATTTTTGTGTTTTACCACACCCATATAACCTGATATTCAAGAGTTACTTTCACAGCCACTTGAATCTTATGGTTAGTTGCTTGATTGTGGTGTCTGAAACAGACAATAAAAAAACTTAACAAAATTAAATGTTGTAAATTTTTGACATTAATTGAAATTAATTATAAAAACATTTCGGTTTACAATTTAATCTTTTTGAAAGGATTTAATTATATTTTACAGAGGTTACATATGCAAATTTTGGATCTTTATTTTGGTGATTATTTGCTTAGAAATATTTATTAAAAAAGCAAGTTATAGATCCCAAAAAACTCTCATTCTATGATCCTTACATGAGTTTGGCGCCTATTAGGTATGCCAGGCTTTAAATTCATATTTTATTATTCTTTGTTTTGAATGTGAAATATGCCTCCAAAATTATGGCCCATTTCCATATATCTAAGAGACATGGATATATTGAATCATTAACTTTGTGTCAAGCGCCTATTAGGTATGCAATGTTTTTTTAATGTTTCTTCATAAATCTTCCGTTCCACTGCAACTTATTTTATATCCGTAATTTGCTGCGAAAATAATGACCCATTTTCACATATCTAAGATACAAACATATATCGGGTCATTAATTTTTCATTTCACCCATGGCCGAATGAAATGTATTGCTCAACCATAAATGGTTAACGGTCAGTCATTTCCAAATAAATTCAATTCAAATGGCCTTTATTTATGACTGGTCTATAATATTTTTACTACCAATGACATGGCATAAAGACTGCAACATTAAAAAGAATACCGGGTACTTTGTCAGAGAAATTCCGTTTAATTATCAATTAACAACCACCTAAAAATATGCTATAATTTTTTATCTTCAGCCAAGCGATAAACAAAACAAATTAAATGCAATAATTTCTGCGTACCATATCATGTCACCAACATCAATGTCAACATCAAGGCAAAGCAGACAAAAATCCAAACTGATGACAAGCTTAATTGCCTGGCCCCCCACTCACAAAACAGAATTTGATTGGCCGACATAAATACAAAATACACAAAGAATAATTTTTGCCAACGTCAATGCCATATGAAGAATATGCCCATATTTATTCCCTCTTCTTTTCCATCTCTCTTTGCAGCATAGCACCACCACCTCCACCACGACTACGACCATCAACATATCACATACCCAAAAGGCGTTATAAATAGCCAGAATAATCCTAGAAGCAACTCGGCGAAAATAAAGGCCGAAACGAGAGTGCGAACGAGTGGAACAGCAGCATCGAAGTGTGAAAATAACCAAAACATTGCAACACCTAAGGGCAGGAGGCAACGCAGACTCCGAAGGCTGTGCTGTGTAATTTAATGTGACAATGCCGGGTGTGGTATTTTTAATTGTTGTGCCAACAGCTAATTTTGAACGTGAGCTTTATTATGGTAAGTATTTGAGAGGAGATGGTTTTGACAACAACATCATCAACAACAACAACTTATGGGGCCCATTAAATATTTCTATGTTCATTTCAAAGAAATTAAATACTAAAATTTAGGAAAATTAAATACAGTTCGTATGTATTTTAATTTGATGAAGAAATGCTTATTATATGATTTATACTTTTAGGCTGTGTGAATAGATTTTTTTTTCATTTGAAGCAATAGAGACAGGCTTTAGAACTTCATATACAGGGTAGACCTTCTTAAGATATTAGGATATATGTAACGCTAGGAATGTATATATAGTGAGATTAAACAAGTAAAAAAGCTGTATGTTCGGCCCAGCCGAACCATTTTTATTTATTATTTTTAAATATTATTAAATGAAACAAAAAATGTCGGAAATAGCATAAAATTTTAGAATAAGTTCAGATATGTTCGAATTGGTCAACTATCACACGAATTATGGCCTTCAAATGACCAATGAAACAGTCACACGCCCCCCGAATGTTGCTCTGCGGTATTTTGGCCCATTCCCGGCGAAGCGCTTGCTTGAGGTGATCGACACTTTGATATTTTTAGTGCCAACCTTGCTTTCCAAAATACTCAAGACATAATAGTCCAATGGATTGGTATCCGGAGATTTTGGTGGCCATTGTGCGCTAAAAATGAAAGGAGAACCTCATTTCGTAACCATTGAGTGCGACGGTGCTGAGTCCTGTTGGAATGTCCAAGGTCTGCACCCTCCAGAATATTTTCGAGATAATATTCGGCATTTATTTTGAGGCCAAGGTCGATTAATACGAGCGGAGAGGGACCATCGGCTGTTATGGCTGTTACTGCCCACACCATCACCATGGCCGGCGCTTGAGTTCTGGTGGCCAACCAATGGTGCACATTTTCAGCTGACCTCTTTGGCAGGAAAACACGATCATTTCCTTTGCTTACAAACTGCTGGACAACGAATGTTTTCTCATCGGAGAAAACCAAATTCGGCAGTTCACCACTTTCGGTCAAGCGAAGCAACTTTTAAGCTCTTTTTTCTAAATTCTAAATTCTTGGACTTTTTGGCATTTCAATGGCTTTACCCCGAGCTTATTTTTCAATATTTGCCGAATGGAATATTGCGATATGTAATTTTCTGGTCACTGCGACGCGCTTCTTTACTTTTCGAACCATTTCTACTGATGTTGCTGTTTTCTTCCGTCCACTTCCTTGACGTCGGGCTACGCTAACGCTTGCTAGCAATACAATGAGCTGTCACTGGAATAATTTTAACAGCTGTTGGACTAGTGGCTTAGATATGACCGGAGTCTGAAGTTGGTTACTGTGCAATGTAAAGTTTCAAACATGAAAGGTGTTACACATTGTTATTATTGACGACTCCCGCTTTGGAAGCATACAGCAAAGGGATTATTCAATTAACTTTTTTAAAATTGGAAAAATTTCCCCACGTTCGCCAAATCTTGAACTTTTTAATATTTCTAGGAAAATTAAACCGATGTGCATATGGATGCGCCATCGTCGACTCCACTGGAACCTTCCCACAGAGGATTAATATTTTGAAGAAGGTGAATTTTAATTTCCAAAATATGTAAAATCATAGTCCGCCAGTCATATTTCTCAGTCAAAGTTTTTGGTACTTAATTTCCGGAACCTCATTATCTTCATAGTATGTCGTTGCTACTGATTAATTCGTAATGAAGATTATGTGTTCTTATGAAATACTCCACTGGTATTGCAGAAGGTTGTTTATTATTTTATTTAATGGATTATTCAGCTCATACACATCCGAAATTTCTAATGGTGTAAGCATGCATAAAGGTCATCTTATTTCGGCCCGTGTTTGAAATTTGGTATTTAGGGTTCGTAATAGATTCCGCCCCCTGTAGCAATACAATGATACAGTTTTCGGTGGAATTCTCTTGAATTAGTATTTGAATTCACCTTTTAATATATTCCTCAAATAATTGTACTTTTTGATATTCGATATTTATATTTGTACTTAGATTTTAGACAGATCTTTCTAAAATTTTGTATTCAAATTTGTATCAATTTTTTCGAAATAACGACTCTATCAACAGCGACGTATTCTGACATGAATGACACGGTGACCAACAAGCAAAAAATTTATTTTTCATTGCTACAAAAATATTTCAAAAAGTGAAAGTGGGCTCCAAGACCCTTCCTGCGTACGTTCCAATCTATTAGGAATATTTTTCTTTAATTTACGACTTTTACTCCTCAGAAACCATATATTTCGTTCGAAACTGGTGGCTTTCCATAATGTAAGAAATGATCAAAAGTTCGTCCCCGCTGAACTTAACTTTTAATTTGTATACCCTCCACCATTCTATGGAGGGTATATTAACTATGTCATTCCGTTTGTAACTCCTCGAAATATTCATAATAGACTCTACGAAGTATCTATAATCTGGATCAGCGTAAAATTCTAAGACGATCTAGCGATTTCCGTCTGTCTGTCCGTCTATCCGTGTGTCCGTCCGTCTGTTGAAATCATTCTAGCTTCCGAACGAAATGAAGTAGATAAATAAAATTTTACTCAAATGTATATTATGTCTTCAGGAATTTTGGTATTGAAGATGGGCCATGTAGGTCCACGTCTCCGTATAGCCCCTATATAACGGTACCTCCCGATATTCGGTATTTTGATGATTTTAGCGACATTATTTACCGGAATTGTTTCAAATTTCGCATTAGAAGTTCGTAATGGATATTACAGCCTATGACAGAAAATTGTCTGTGTAGATCCACGTTTTAAAACCACCATGGTACCTCCCTATATTCCGTATTTTGATGATTTTAGCCACATTATAAACAGATTTTTTTTCAAGTTTCGCATTTGAATATTGTAATAGCTTGTAACAAAAGTTGACTATGCAGGTCCACGTCGTCGTATAGACTCTAATATACGGCTACATTAGGTATTTTCAAGACTTTAACAGAATTTTTATCGGGTTTTATTTTTTTTTTGAAAATTGTAAAATTTGTACCAAATTATTTGTTGATATTTTAACAGTTTTTAACGGAGTTTATTCAAAATTCGGCCCGGCCGAACCTACAGCTTTTTTACTTGTTTTATTTAAAAAAAACCATGTGAATCCGCCTTCGTTCACTTCTACAAACAAAATCTTATATTTATGAATTCTCCATGGCAAAGTATTTTAATATTACAATTTATTATAATTTCGACCTCGATTGCCTGCCACCATACCCCCAGCCCCCAAAAAAAAGACAAATGTTAGCAAATAATAACAATCTGCCGACATCGGCCGATTTGCTAACAATTTTTGTTTTTTGGTTTATAAAATCCTCTTACATTCAAAAAAAAAAAAAAAAAATGTCCGGGCCGAACTTTAAATACCCTCCAACATTTGGAACGAGTTTGGCAATTTTCAAAAAAATAAAAAAATAAATGTCCGTTAAAATCTTAAAAATTCCGAATGTAGATGTTATATTAGGGTCTATACGATAACATGGACCTGCAATATTCAAATGCGATACTAAAGAAAAAACAAGTAAAAAAGCTGTAATTTCGGCCGTGTCGAACTTTGAATACCCTCCACCATTTAGTACAAATTTGGCAATTTTCAAAAAAAAAAAAAAAAAATAGTAAAGAAAGTCCTAAAGTCGGGCGGGGCCGATTTTATGATACCCTACACCACTTTGCTAATTTAGTAGAGCTCCGCATAACAATTAAAAATTTTTATGGGAGAATTCAATCATACACGCTATGATTATAATTATAATTTAAAATTCAAAGGACTAAATATGCCGGAGCATTTGTATCTTTTAAATTCGGACTTGTATTGCTCATTTGGTGCAAAATTAGTTTGAAATCAGATAAATATATATATGGGAGCTATAACCAAATCTGAACCGATCTCGATAAAATTAAGCAAAGGTATTTTTCTGAGCTGCATTTAATATATTTAACCAAATATTGTTGTTACAGAGTGCATATTACGGCTACGTATGAACAATATATATGGGAGCTATATCTAGATCTGAACCTATTTCCATCAAATTTGGCATACTTATTTTCAGGCCTAATATGGTTGTATGTGCAAAATTCCATACTATTCGGGCTGATATTACACGTTTGGTGTAAATTTTTATCGATTATCTCTAATTTTAATAGGGTTCGTCCTTGGGCCAAACAAATGATTTGTGCAAATTTTCATCTCAATCGGACAATAAATGCGAACTGTGCTTTGTTTACAAAAATACATGGACAGACAGACGGACGGACATGCATAAATCGACTCAGAATGTGATTCTATGCAGATCATCAAAAGGAACTATAAGTCTATCTCGCTTCCCTCTCCATGTTACAAACAAATGCACAAAGACATAATACCCTGACCACCTTGTGGTGTAGGGTATATAAATCAGTGAATAATGTAGCTAAAATCATCAAAATACCGAATATCGGGAGGTACCTTTATATGGGGGCTATATGAAGACGTGAACCTGCACAGACGATTTTCTGTCTTAGGCTGTAGTATCAATTTCGAACTTCAAATACCACATTTGAAGCAATTCAGGTGAATATTGTAGCTAAAATCATCAAAATACCGAATATCGGGAGGTACCGTTATATGGGGGCTATACCAAAACGTAGACCTACATGGCCCATTTTCAACATATAAATCTACTTCAATTCGTTCGGAAGCTAGAGTGATTTCCACAGACGGACAGACGGGTAGAGGGACAGACGGACGGACGGACATTGATAAATCGACATAAAATTTTATGCTGATCAAGAATATATATACCTTGTGGGGTCTAAAATTATAATTCGAGGTTTTGCAAATGGAATGGAACCCTCCGTACTATGGTGGAGGGTATAAGAATATTTATTGGAGCCGAGATCCACCAAATGAAAACGAACTTCTCTCCGTTTTGGCTGATATTACACAATAATTGCACAATAAACCCGCAAACGGATTAAGGATATATATGGGAGATTTATTCAAGTCATAGCCGATTTAAAACCCCAAATCGGATGAAACACATATATGAGAGCTAAAGCTATATCTGAAGGTTATTTGAACAGATACTGGCCATTTGGTGCACAATTAACCCGAAATCGGTTGAAGTTATATATGGGAGCTATATTTTAATTTGAACCGATTCTCTATGAATTTTATTTTAAGAAATAACATTTATTCCAATCTGTATTTTAAAAATTGTCTGCAGTACTGCAGTGGTGAGTTCCAAATTAGACGATGTTTTTTGGAAAGATAATAATCCTTCTGAAACATCTGCAGACATTTGGTAATTGTCAAGCGCTAGGAGTGGGCAGCAGTCGTTGCTGCTCCACAAATACGAAGTTTTTAAAGGTCGTCGGCCACAATAGATTTCGGGATCAATATACTTTAGGTGAAGGTCTTATGTGGGGGAAGGAGTTGTCCATATTGTTCATTTTATTCCTTAACATATGCTTCTTATAAATATTATGATGTGCTAACTAGTTCCCTTTGCGTTATATGAGAATTATAATATTTTGCTTCATTCTGAGAATTTTCGGTTTGAGGGGGATTATAAGAAGGAATGGGCTGATATCGTCCTTCCGTAACGCAAAAAAATTATAGTCCTTAAGTCAATTTAACAATTTTGCTATTGTGGTTGGGTTCATCAGCTATATGGCGCGGAAGGAATCGGCCAATTCATATAAAATGATTTGAATATTTATTGATATATTATCTTAAAATCCAAAATATCATTCCTCTTCAAACTACTTCCAATCGTATGTCTATCCTCATAATATTTACACATTGCTGAAATCCATTTCTCGAAAATCCCAACACAATTCTCCCATTGGCCTCTTTCAAAGAAGGCTTCTAATTATAGCCGTTTCTTTCTGCTCTTCCGGGAAAATGAATAACATATTTGAGATGACTTTGAACATCAATCTGCACCATATTCTTCACCTCCCTACCTACATTCAATTGAAACAATATTTCAATTAAATTGATTTCTTGATTATATTCAAATACAGCCTACACACACACACTCCCTACACAATTACAAAGCGTTTCAGCGGTGACATCAACATTTTCGGGCTTACACATCCCATTGGCTTTGGAGTAACCAATATCCACAAATCTGACACAGCACAAATCATGGCATTTTAATTGTAATCGTATTATTTACACTTCTTTGAGTTACATTAACAGGGATATGGAGAGCATGGGAGTGTGGGCGGTACAAAGAGAGAAGAGGGAAAGAGTGAAACTATAGTTGGGGCATCCACATCCACATCCATCCATCCATCACACATCATCATAAACAAGCTAACACGTCTCAGCATATGAGGCGTACAAAATGTTTATGGCCCTAAACAGTGGCCTAATGACAGCTATCCACACAACAACACACACATGCATATATTCACACACATATACCTTACATGTCCTATTTATATATGTATATTATGATGATGTCCCTTTTGCTTCAATTCACAGGTAACAATCAAGATTTGTCCGCCCCAAACATACCGCTGCACACGATAGCCACCAAGGGAGCTTTCGGCCCAGGCGGTGGGGTCAATAATAACCTTAACATCAATCTTCCGGAAAATAACAACGCAATATTAAGACTTGAAGTTGAGCTACGTGACAAGAATGCACCCAAATACCGACGTGCAGCTGGCCTGCCATCAGCAGCGGCAGGTGGACGAGGCCGTGGCGTTGGTATGGCCACAAGGCCAGGTGGAAATAATAATCGTTCCATTGCAGATGGCCGAGGTGGTGGTGGTGGCGTCGGAGGCGGTGGTAATGTTACCGCTGTTATGACCGACTTAAAGGGTAATGCCATAATACCCCTGGAGAAGGTAAGTCGATTGGGCTATATGTTTACGCTCATCAAGTGGTAGTAAGTAGTTACGTGTAAATATCCCACTCACAATTCGCTTCCGTTTGAGCAAATATTCTCATATGTGGGCCACATAATCGTTCTAAGGAAAAATGGTGAAAAAATATGTTTACGATTATGTGACAAAATGAGAATATTATAGTGCGGAGAAAATTGATTAAATTCAAAATGAAGTTTTAAAACATAATGGAAATAATTAAAACAAGTAAAAAACTGTAAAAGTAAAAGTGTAAAAGAAATTCGCAATTTTCAAAAAAAAAAAAAAAATATATATATATATATATATATATATATATATATATATATATATATATATATATATATATATATATATATATATATATATATATATATATAATAATAATAATAATAATAATAATAATAATAATATAATAATAATAATAATAATAATAATATAATAATAATAATAATAATAATAATAATAATAATAATAATAATAATAATAATAATAATAATAATAATAATAATAATAATAATAATAATAATAATAATAAACATAATAATAATAATAATAATAATAATAATAATAATAATAATAATAATAATAATAATAATAATAATAATAATAATAATAAATACATAAATAAATTTCTGTTAAAATCTTAGAACTACCGAATGTAGCCTTTATATTAGGGTCTATACGACGACATGCCTATGCAGGCAACTTATGTTATAAGCCATTATAAAATTCAAATGCGAAAAAATCTGTGAATAATGTATCTTAAACCATCAAAACATCGAATATAGGGAGGTACCGTGTCTATACCAAAACGTGGACCTGCGCAGATAATTTTCTGCCATAGGCTGTAGAATTCATTACGAACTTCAAATACTAAATTTGAAATAGTTCCGGTAAATGATGTCGCTAAAATTATCAAAATACCGAATATCGGGAGGTACCGTTATATGGGGGCTATACGAAGGCGTAGACCTACATTGCCCATTTTCAATATCAAAAGTCCTGCAGACATAATACATATTTAAGTAAAATTTTATCAACCTACTTCATTTCTTTCGGAAGCTAGATTGATTTCAACAGACGGACAGACAGACTTTTATGCTGATCAAGAATATATATATATACTTTGTGGGGTCTAAAATATATATTTCGAGGTATTACAAACGGAATGGCAAACTTAATATAGCATTCATACTATGGTGGAGGGTATAAAACACAGGTAAAATGTATCAGTCTGTTTTGTCGACCGATTCATACCCTCAGCTTATGTCTCATAAAAAATGTTTACCCTTTAACGGGATGGTACCGAAGAAGTGGGCCAATATTTTCTTTTCGCATATGACCTAAGTCTGATATAAGTATTGCGACGTGCCAGGTTTGGACTATATCGACTACTCCCTTCCCTTTATGTGGAGGAGGAGGTAATGGAAAGAGTGGACCTATGTATTAAAACAGATAATAATGCTAATAAAATTATTGAGATGAGATATCGAAATTGTCAATTTTCCCACCTGACCTAACGCTGATGCAAATATTAGGATTTGCAAAATTGGGGCAAAATCGGATTATCCTTTCTCTTTCTCTGTAGTAAATTATTTTCTTTTAAAATGTTGACATTAGCCCATCTCCGAACTCGATTTAATTTTGACAATAATATTCCGATGTACCAAATTTGCATCAAATCGGATACTGCTTTCGAAAGTTAACGTGAGCACCATCCAGCCATACGGACGGACATTGCTAGATCGACTCCAAATGTCTTGAAACGGATTTGGTCCAAAACAACCTACAACCGTTATTTCGATGAGGCACATTAACAGCCGACGGTTCCTCACCGCTCGTATTAATCGACCGTGGCATCAGAATAAATGCCGAATATTATCGCGAAAATATTCTGGAGGGTGTATTAAAGCCTTGGGCACGCAAACATTTTGGCCGCATACCTTGGGCATTCCAACAGAATTCAGCACTATCGCATTAGGCACGTACCATCCAAGAATGGTTACAAAATGAGGTTCCTCGCTTCATTTCCAGTGCACAATGGCCACCAAAATCTCCGGATACCAATCTATTGGACTATTGTGTCTGGAGTATTTTGGAAAGCAAGGTTGGCACTAAAAATACCAAAGTGTCGATCATCTCAAGCAAGCGCTTCGCCGTTTGAAGGCCATAATTCGTGCCAAAGGTGACCTATTCGAACAAATCTAAACTTATTCTAAAATTTGATGCTATTTCCGAAATTTTTTGCTTTTATTCGAAAAAATTTAAAAAAAATGTAAAAATCATGGCGTTTGACTTTGTTGCAGTTTTTTTTTATCTCACCCTGTATGTATTCTTGATCAGCGTAAAATTCTAAGACTAGTTAGCCCTGTCTATCCGTCTGTATTTTGTAATCACGGATAAAGATAATAAGCTAACACTTTGCACAGATCAGTCTTTCATCTGCAGGCAGGTCGGGACCGAAGATGGACTATATCGGTCCACCATATCGTATATCCTCCACATGCGGTACCTCACTATGTTCGGTATTTGTATGATTTTTGCTACATTTTACAATGGAAAAGTTTTCTCTCAGCCCTATACCTATGTAACGGTACCTCATGATTTTAGAATTGTCTCTAGAGGTCCACGATATCGTATAGCCCACATACTACAGTACCCTCCGATATTCAATATGTTGACAATTTAAGGCCATTTCATCGGAGTTGTTTCAAATTTCGTATTTAGAATTCGAAGTGAGAACTGCAGTCTCTGACAGAAGATTGTCTATGCGGGTCAAGGGGTTCATATAGGGTCCATGTATCAGTACCACCCTATATTCGGCGTTTTGACGATTTTAGGTACAATATTCACCGAAATTGTTTGAAATTCCATATTTGAAGTTCCTAATAGGTACACCAGCCTGTGACAGAAAATTGTATATGCAGGTCCAGGTCTTCGTATAGTCCCGATATAGCGGTACCTCTACCTATATTCGGTATTTTGATGATTTTAGCTACATTATTCAACGGAGTTTTTTCTATCAAGTTTCGTAAAAATAATCTTATTTCGCATTTAAATATTGTAATGGCTTATGATAAAAGTTGCCTATGCAGGTCCACGTATTCTTATTGACCCCAATATAAAGGCTATATACGGCATTTTTAAGATTTTAACAGAATTTTTTCTGTTTTTTTTTAAATTTTCAAATTTGTTCCAAACAGTGGACGGTATTCAATGTTGCCCTCCGCTTCCTTTTTACTTGTTAAATCTTTCACAATTGTAATTTTCAAAATGTATATTCGTAAATCCGTTGTATATAACATGATCCAGAGAGGGTACCTGTTTTCTACGCAGTTAAATTTGACAAGGTAAAATACAGAAAAATGCAGAGATGGACGTGCTTATTGGAAATGAGGTTACCTTTATAATTCTATCATGATAAAATCTCTGACGTAACAAAAAACGGCGAAACGTGACATCCTTGTGTGACCTCTGTCGTCACCTAGTCAAAAGGTGACAATTCCAGTAATGGATATCCCAGTGTCACTCAATTTCTAATTGGAAATATAATATCCTTTACTCTCTCCTCCTCCATCCCTCTTAAGGGAACGAGTTACGTTTTCCTACTCTCTCATTCTTCTCCCATATTTTTTGTTTGTTTTCTAATAATAATTTCCTTGAAATTCTAGGTTCTTGAAGAGCTACTGGTCAAGTTGGAAATCGAACATGTTACCTGGACGACGAGTAAAAAAGGATATTTCCATCATGTTGTGTTCCCTCTGCAATCGGGAGAGCCATGTGAAACCACTTTACATTGTCTAACGGAACTGGGTATTGGCACTAAATTGAATTCTAGTGTCAGGTAAGTTGAGCTACTGTTTTTTTACACTGACTCTCTTGTGTCGGGTTAACTGCTTAAAGGACTTGTGGAGACTGTGTAGTTTTTTGTTGTCATAAAAGACTATCATAAAGTGGCGGCGGTGTTGGGACACTCCAAAACAAACTTGGATAACGAAAGCGAAAATGACTATAAAAATGACATAAACAATAACAACAAGAAGTGGTGGAGGAGAGAAGAAAAAGAACATTGTGTCTTTGGAGTTGACTACAAAGTTTTTCACACACACACACACACATATAGACCCAGCCGAACAAAGTGCAAGCTATTGCCTTTAGGCGTTAAGCAGGGTACTGTATTGCACTTCATAAGACAGCCAAGTTTGTCTATTGTCCCAAAGTGCAAAAGACAACACGGCTAGACATTTATTTCAATACTGCTTCAACTTGTGTTGCTGCTGCTGTTGTTGAGGAGGTTTCTGTTGCAGCTCCAACATTTTATGACACCCACAGCAGTGTTGTTGCCTTAGAACACCTAAGCCAACATCACGAGTTATTATGTGTTGTTGGCGGCAGCGGCGGCGGTGTCGGCCATAAAAGTTCACTTTGATATGGGCTTTTAAGTGGCCATCCTTATCAGTTGGCAAAGATGTGAAATGTGTTCTCACCATTCTCCTGTTGTTGACAGTTTTTATGATGTTCTGGTTTTTGCTGGCGCATAAAGTTGATAAGGTCGTCGTTGGATTGTTGCATTGCAAAATAAAAAAAAGTTCAAATGGCCACATAAACGTTTTCCTTGCAAGCCAGGAAAATATTGGTGGATACCCAATAAATTTTCCAGGAATTCTTAAAGGCTTGACGACTCAACAAAATTATATTAGGAATTTTTATATTCTCCCAAGTTTTATTGCCTTCCAAATATAGATCTCAATATTTAAATTTTCAACTCTCTCTCTCTCTCTCTCTCTTGCACAGTGTCCTACCCTGCAGCGTTAGCTATGATGCCCTTACCGTAATGGAGGATGTCAGGTAAGTTATTTTGCTTTGATGTAATGTCCTTAAAATATTTTCCATGAAGCCGTTCGGCCACTTTTCGGAAGAGTCAATTGAAAAATTCCAATCACTTTGCTGCATAGCAAATTGATTTCACGGCTCAACATTTTAATTTCTTATCTTTGATTTGTGTCGTCCTTTTGCGTCATCGTCTAGCGATCCAATGGATGGTGAAGAACTGTCGAAGTGGAACAATTTTGTGGAATCAATTAAATCGAAATTAACCGTAAAACAGGTCGTGGACGGGGTACGTGCTGGCGGTTCATTGTCCTTTGATTATCTGTTGCTAATTGTAACGGCTGAGTAAGTTTTATCGTTGGTGACCTTTGACACAAAGTAGCTACAAGCCAATCAATTGGTATTAGATTTCCATCCCTTTGGGAGGGTCAACAACCCTTTTTGTGTTAGTCAAAAAAGAAAATTATTTAGGCAATTGTACAAAAATGTGAATCGGAAAAAGGCTGTTATTAGAAAATGAAATTGAAACTTTTTGTTTCATAATTCTTGGTTTCGAATTTCTTCTTCTCTTTACAGTTCCTTGGCCGCCTTGGGTTTGGTGGAGAATAATGCACCCAATATTACAGCAGCCATGTTGGTCTCTCCTTTGATGGGTCCAGTGATGTCAATAACATTTGGCACTATTATTGCGGATAGAGAACTAATTGTGAGTATAATATTTTTTAACAACTCAAATTTTTATTTAGTGCATAAATAAATGATAAATACGTGAGTATTCCCATATAACTTCTAAATCTACTCGGATACTGAATACCATTGACAAGTCTTTAGAGACCTAATTGATATTTTTTTAAATTGTCCATTACCAAATCCCTGAATATATGCATGAATATATGTTCGAATGCATAAAGACTCCGATGGGATAGCTTATAATCAAACGCATATCATATACTGATATTAGGGTATCTTTATTTATTTCGTATATACCTATATACCCTACAACACTATTGTTGGGGGTATTATAAGTTTGATTGGGCCAAAAATTATGTAACACCACGAAATATTGGTTTCCCACATAGGAAAGTATATATGGATCTTCCTATCTCGCCGAGCTGAGTCGATCTAGCTATGTATGTCCGTCCGTCCGTCTGTCCATGTTAATTTGTAATCATCCTACAGGTCGCAATTATGGCCCGATCCTCACGAAATTGAAAATGGAGGTGGGATTAAGGTCAGAATAGAACCCTATTTCTTTTGAAGATGATCGCATAATATTTAGGGGTTGAAATGGACCAAATACTGAAAAATATCTTGATTTCAAGTTGCTCTACAGGTCGCAATTATGGACCAATCGACGTGGAAGTTATCATGGGGCTAGAGCTGAGGACTGGGCAGAAGTCTTCCAATTTTTCCGACCGTTACGTACACGCCGATATTAAATATATTGCATATATATAGCGAAATATGTATAATGTGTGTATACAAAGGAAGGGGATGTTAGCAAGAATGCTTATATCTCAAGAATGGCGGGACCGATTTTGACAAATTTGGTCAATTCAGAATGCCCTCTTGGCATAAAAGAAAAAAATCTAAAATAATCGCATATAAATATGCCAATAATGGTGTAAATATAGATTTTGTAGTATTTGGTGACATTTTGTTATTTTTTTATTTATTTTATAAAATTCCTGATCACACAATTGAAGCCATTCGACAAGCCTGAGAGGAGCATTAAGGACAGGGACGAATTCTAACATTTTGGATGACCATTGGATTATATTTAATGGACCAAAATCAACTAACAGCACGACGAGCTATTTTGAGTCTATTTTCTTTCTGATGCGGTGTAATGAATACATATTATTTGTGGAGTCTTCGACTACTATTTTGAAGAATTTTTTTTTAATTCTATTTTGAAAAAAAGGGAAGAATTAGCGTCATGGTGTGTGTTTGTTCATTTCATACTAGCAAATTCCCGCTACTTCGTCAGCGAAAAGTTTTGATTCGTTCCAATAGTTCATGTTAGGTCTTTTATACCCTCCTCCACTATGAAGGGTATAATAACTTTGTCATTCCGTTTGTAACTCCTCGAAATACTCAAGTCAGACCCAACAAAGTATATATATTTTTGATCATCATAAAATTCTAAGACGATTTAGCGATGTCCGCCTGTCTGTCTGTCTGTCTGTTGCAATCACGCTATCTTTCGAATGAATTGAGATAGAAGGCTAAAATTTTGCACACATGTTTATTTTTTCAGTAGGCAGGTTAAGTTGGTAAATGGGCACGTTTTCATATAACCCCCATATAACGGTACCTCCTGATATTCGGTATTTTTATGATTTTAGCAACATTATTAACCGGAATTGTTTCAAATGTGATATTTGAAGTTCGAAATGGATACTGCAACCTACGACAGAAAATTATCTGTGTAGGTCCGCGTCTTCGTATAGCTGCCATATAACGGTACCTTCCGATATTCGGTATTTTGATGATTTTAAAAACATTTTCCAATAAAATTGTCTGAAAATCCACACAAGGAGTTTTTTTGATTACTTCACTCTCTGAAAGTGAATTGTCTATATAAGTCTACGATATCGTACAACCCCTATGCAACGGCACCCCAATATTCGGTGTTTTGGTGATTGTAGCCAATTTTTTCATTAAAATTGTCAGAAAATGTACATAAGGATTTCCTTCTTAGTTTTCATTCCTTGGAAGATGATAGTCCATTTAGGTCCCCGATATCGTTTGTCCCAAATACAACGGTATTTTGATGATTTTAGCACCATTTTGCAATGGAATTGTCTAAATATCGATGCTAGAAGTTCTTTCCAAGCACTTTACTCCCTGAAAGAGAAATATCTATATAGGTTCAAGATATCGTATAGCCCACATACAACGGAACCCCCCGATGTTAGATATTTGACGATTTTGGGGACGTTATTCACAGAAGTTGTTTGAAATTGTGTACCTTGAATTCGTAATGGGAACTATAGCCTATGACAAAAAATTGCTTATGCTTATGGCCTCCATATAATTGTATATCCCAATGTTCGGTATTTTGATAATCATTCACCTGAGTTGTTTCAAATTTCGTATTTAGAGTTCGTAGTGGAAACTACAGTCTGTGACAGAAAATTGTCTATGCAGGCTCAGGTCGTCGTATAGGCCCCATATATCAGGACCTCCCTATATTCGGTATTTTGACGAGTTTAGGTACAAAACCCACCGAAATTGTTTGAGATGTCGTATTTGAAGTTCGAAATGGATGCTACAGCCTGTGACAGAAAATTGTCTATGTTGGTCCAGGTCTTCGCACAGCTCCGATATAACGGTACCTCCCTATATACGATATTTTGATGATTTTAGCTACTTTATTCACCGTTCATTTCAAATTTGAATATGGTAATGGCTTATGACAAACAATGCCTATGTAGGTTCACGTCCTATAGACCCCAATATAACGGCTATATTCGGTATTTTTAAAATTTTAAGGATTTTATTTTTTGAAAAATTTCAAATTTGTTCCAAATGGTGGAAGGTTTTCAAAGTTTGGCCAGACCGAACTTACTGATTTTTAACTTGTTTAGTACTTAAAATATATATTGGTTTTCTTTTATTCGTAACTTCATATGCACATCGTACCTAAATTTCAGACTTCAAGATTTTCTATATCATTACACTTTTTCTCTTTTGGAAGGGATATTTTTTACATCAAAAAATCTTTCATTTTAAAATTTACGGAGGAGGATATTAGCGAAATCATTGAAGAATTTTTTTTTGTCCAAAACAATTTCAAAGTCTTCATATGTAAACCCAAGAAACCAACAGTGACCTCAATAGCAAATTTCAGCTCTATACCAGTAACAAATTCAGTACACATACCTAAAACAATCCTCACCTCTTCATCCTAGACACCAACGGTGATCCAAAATTAGTACCATTTAGTACATATCGAACAGTTATAGTCAACAGTTCCAAAACTACCCCTATATCTCAACACTAGATATCAAGAGAGCCCTTAATATAAAATTTCGAGATTCACTCAATACCAAATTTAATAACACTCAGTATTTTTCGTATCATTTTAGTTCACATTTCCAAAACCACCACCACAGAAACCAACACTGATATCTCCTTCAGGCTTTAGGATTTCAGCTTTCTAACCTTCCCAATATCTCAATCTCAGATACTAAAAGTGACCTCAATATCAAAATTGAGGACTCCAAACCTTTCACCCAGTACGAAATTTCGTACTATTCGAAAAAATTTAGTACGCATTTTCAAAATAAATCCTATATCTCAACCTCAGATACAAATAGTGACTTAATATGAAATATCAGGATTTCAGCTCTGCAATTTCCTTCGTTGAAAAATTTAGTACCATTTAGTACAAATATAGTGCATATTCCTAAAACTACCTCCTCATCTCAACACCAAATACCAAGAGAGATAATTCAATATCAAATTGCGGAATTCCAGCTAAATAGATTCGCTCAGTACCAAATATAGCAGCATTCAGTACTTTTCATACAATTTTCAATTTTCTATATCACTTCACTCAATACCAACTGTAGTACCATTGAGTACTTTTCACATTTCGGCAATCACTTCCATATATCCAGGATACACATGAATCCAAATTCCAGGTTTTATTTGACAAGTAGAACTTGTCTGCCTGAACATTTTCTTTGTCTTGTCGTGGAAATGCTGCATTTCTAAGCCTTCCTCATGTTTTACAGCTTTTCCAAAAATTGTAAGAAGACTCGGTTGCAATATTCTATTTTAATTTTTATAAGGGATAATTTTTCCCCCGACTGTCCAAAGTCATTAGCAGACTCCCCAATAGCTACTCCACAAAGTAAGAATCACGACTTCCACCTCAATTCTTTATAAACTGGTCCTTTTCGTGTAAAGTCTTTTAGAAATTGGGTTGATTATGCTATTATTTTACAATTTCAGCTATTTGTCAAAATTTATGGCTGAAAAAAATATTTCGCTTTTGTTTGTGGGTTTGAGGCGACTTTGGAAAACGTCATAGAAAATTGGAATAGCTTTCAGTTAAAATATTTTTTATTTTATTTTTATTTTATTTTTTTTTCAACATAGTGTTTAGGGTGTTATGTCTTTGTACATTTGTTTGTAACATGGAGAAGGAAGAAAGATAGACCCATTGCTACTTTTAAGGATCTTTATAGAATCACTTTCTGAGTCGATTTATGCATGTTAGTCCGTCCGTTCGTTAGTCCATGTATTTTTGTGAACAAAATGCAAGTCGCATTTATCAACCGATTGAGAATAAATTTGGCAAACAATATTTGTTTGGCCCAAGGACGAACCCTATTGAATATAGCTCCATATGGGATCTTCAACCGATTTTGGGTTAATTGTGCACCAAATTGCTTATATCAGCCCAAATGACCTGTATTTTGGTACATCCGACCAAATTCAGTCTAGAATTTGAAGAAAATCGGTTCAGATGTAGCTGTAGCTCCCATATATATGTTTCATCCGATTTGGGGTTTTAAGTCCCTCACATGCCTAATATGCACTCCAGAAGAATGATATTTGGTACCGGATATCAGATACTGCTCGAAAATTCCTCTGTCAAATTTTATCGAGATCGGTTCAGATTAGGATGTAGCTCCCATATATATCCGATATCAGGTTTATTGTGCACCAAATGGCTAATATCAGCCCAAA